AAAAATATTACAACCATCTTATAATAATTCAATTCTTAATTCCATTTTCAAGGAGAAAATCATAAAAAAACATTGGTGATGTCACAGTCACATGACAAAACTATGTCTATGAGCTGATAGACAAAAAACTTTCAGCCAATCCGAAAACGTGTTACATCAAAAATTAAGTAATTTATATTTACCTTTACCATGTTTACTGCAATCATGTTTGCTTATTTGTAAATCTAATAGTTAGAGATATTTTTGAAGATCGTGTATTGATGATAATTCTAACTGTTAACTGTTTATTCATACATGTATTCTTAAAGTTTTTGAAATACATGTAATTGGCAAAATTATAAAATTAGTCAACAATCGTCATTTAAAGGCAATAACATGAGTAGATCTTATTAGGAATCTGACAATTTGGTCATGTTCACCTAATTGTAGATCTTAAAAGAGAGTCGAAAGATACCAAGGGACATTCAAACTCATAAGTCGAAAAATAAACTGACAACGCCATGGTCAAAAAAGAAAAAGACAAACAGACAAACAACAGTACACAAAAAACAACATAGAAAACTGTAGACTGAGCAACACAAACCCCAACAAAAACTGGGGGTGATCTCGGGTAAGCAGGTCCTGGTCCACATCTGGCACCCGTCCTGTTGCTCATGTTAGTAAAAACATGTGATAATTAGATATAAGAAGATGTGGTATGAGTGCCAATGAGACAACTCTCCATCGAAGTCACAATTTGTAAAAGTAAACCATTATAGATAAGTCTAATTCAGTAGTTTTAACTGGCATCTTAAAAATTTATCTCTATCTACTTTATTTTTTTATAAAAAAGTAAAAAATGTGCAAAAATCATCATTCAGGGAGAAAAACTCCTATTAGGAGTTGGTTGATAATTTCCCCAATGTTGTCTTATTTTGCTGAACATTTTTGCTCAACACTGTTGCTGTTTATCTATCATATTTCATCCAAAAATACATAAAATGGGCAAAAATGGTTATTCAGGGGCAATAACTCTTATAAGGAGTTATTTGACAATTTCTGCTTTTCTGACTTGTTTATAGATCTTATTGTGATCGATGTGCTAAACATCTATGACTTTTATTTCTCTGTATCTATTAAGGTTTCTGCAAAATGCATAAAATGGTTAAAAATAATATTTCAAGGGCAATAACTTCTTTTGGGTGTCAATTAATGATTTTCAGCCATGACTGTATACATGTAGATCCTATTTTGCTGAACATTTTTTGCTATTTACAGTATCTATAATGCCTTTATTTATGGGTCTTTAGTCTACGAGAATGTTATGTTAGTTTTTTTTGTGCTTTGAACCCATCTTTTAAATTAAGCCAGTTGCAAATAATTTTTAGTTTGTTCTTATGAGTGCTGTTAAACCACTGTTTCAGATTAGGGGAAGCTTGAGCACTCACAAACATGGATAACCCCACAAATTCTTTATGTGTTTTTCCATAGTCAGGAGCCTGTAGTTCAGTGGTTGTCGTCGGTTCATGTCCGTCATATTTTGTTTTTGTAAATTGTTTTGTTATAAATTTAATAAGCTGTTAGTTTTCTTGTTAGAATTTATCGCAATTAAGGACCTATTCAAGTATACCTTTTAGGGAGCACTTGACTTTAGAGGCCATCTCAGCACAAGGTTTTTTGGATTGTAAAGGTTGTTTAGAACTTTTTGTAAACAATAAACACTAGCACAACATGGACAGACAAGTGAGCAAGCTATGTTTTAAATGATCTAACAAAATTATCTGTAATAAACTAAGTCTGTGGATTTTCTGTCAAGGTTTTGGTCTCATTTGCCACAAAATCCTCATTTTCTATTAAATGCAACGAAATATTAAATGAGCCACTACATGATGTGAAAAGGTACATAAAGTTGTTTTGATAAACTTTACAGGACATGTTGATAAAGTTTGTTCAAATATTTTTGAATAAATGATTTTATCTGTAAACTAGAGGCTCTAAAGAGCCTGTGTCGCTCACCTTGGTCTATGTGCATATTAAACAAAGGACACAGATGGATTCATGACAAAATTGTGTTTTGGTGATGGTGATGTGTTTGTAGATCTTACTTTACTGAACATTCTTGCTCCTTACTATTATCTCTATCTATAATGAACTTGGCCCGGTAGTTACAGTGGAAAATTCTTTGTAAAAATTTACAAAAATTTACAAAATTTATGAAAATTGTAAAAAATTGACTATAAAGGGCAATAACTCCTTAAGGGGTCAATTGACAATTTTGGTCATGTTGCCTTATTTGAAGATCTAACTTTGCTGTACATTATTGCTGTTAACAGTTTATCTCTATCTATAACAATATTCAAGATAATAACCAAAAGCTGCAAAATTTTCTTAAAATTACCAATTCAGGGGCAGCAACCCAACAACGGGTTGCCTGATTGGTCTGAAAATTTCAGGGCAGATAGATCTTGACCTAATGAACATTTTTTAAATCATCCGATTTGCTCTAAATGCTTTGGTTTCAGAGATATGAGCCAAAAACTGCATTTTACCCTATGTACTATTTTTTAGCCATGTCGGCCATCTTGGTTCGCGGGCGGGGTCATCAGACACATTTTTTAAACTAGATACCCTAATGATGATTGTGGACAAGTTTGGTTAAATTTGTCTTAGTAGTTTCAGAGGAGAAGATTTTTGTAAAAAATTACAAAAAATTACGAAAAATGGTTAAAAATTGACTATAAAGGGCAATAACTCCTTAAGGGGTCAACTGACCATTTTGGTCAAGTTGACTTATTTGTAGATCTTACTTTGCTGAACATTATTGCTGTTTACAGTTTATCTCTATCTATAATAATGTTCAAGATAATAACCAAAAACGGCAAAATTTCCTTAAAATTACCAATTCAGGGGCAGCAACCCAACAACGGGTTGCCTGATTGGTCTGAAAGTTTCAGGGCAGATAGATCTTGACCTAATGAACAATTTTATCCTCATCAGATTTGCTCTTAATGCTTTTGTTTCAGAGATATGAGCCAAAAACTGCATTTTACCCTATGTACTATTTTTTAGCCATGTCGGCCATCTTGGTTCGCGGGCAGGGTCATCGGACAAATTTTTTAAACTAGATACCCTAATGATGATTGTAGACAAGTTTGGTTAAATTTGTCTAAGTAGTTTCAGAGGAGAAGATTTTTGTAAAAGATTACAAAAATTTACGAAAAATGGTTAAAAATTGACTATAAAGGGCAATAACTCCTTAAGGGGTCAAATGACCATTTTGGTCAAGTTGACTTATTTGTAGATCTTTCTTTGCTGAACATTATTGCTGTTTACAGTTTATCTCTATCTATAATAATGTTCAAGATAATAACCAAAAACGGCAAAATTTCCTTAAAATTACCAATTCAGGGGCAGCAACCCAACAACGGGTTGTCCGATTCATCTGAAAATTTCAGGGCAGATAGATCTTGACCTGATAAACAATTATACCCTATGTCAGATTTGCTCTTAATGCTTTGGTTTCAGAGATATAAGCCAAAATCTACATTTTACCCCTATGTTCTATTTTTAGCCATGGCGGCCATCTTGGTTGGTTGGCCGGGTCACCGGACACATTTTTTAAACTAGATACCCCAATGATGATTGTGGCCAAGTTTGGTCAAATTTGGCCCAGTAGTTTCAGAGGAGAAGATTTTTGTAAAAGTTTACGGACGACGGACGCCAAGTGATGAGAAAAGCTCACTTGACCTTTCAGGTCAGGTGAGCTAAAAATGGTATTTATTTAAATGTTCATAAAATGGTCAATTCTTTCCCGAATTTGTCAGTTTAAACACAAAAAGACGTAGAAATATCTGTGAATTTTTGTACCTAGAAAAGTGTAAAAAAAAAAAGGGTTACCTGAAACAATGCTGCATTGAGTCTAAATAAAATCTTTTACGACACTATAGAGAGAAAAAGTCATCATTTTCACCATCTCTACCTATGCCTAAAGAAAGAAACACAACATTTAAACGTATGGGAAAATACAAAAAAAATGTCATCTTGTGTTTTTGAAATTGAATTTTAAGTTAAGTTATTCAATATTACATAAATCAACCGTCCTTGGACGGGATTCGAACTGTTGCTCCTATTAAATTGCATTGATTTCTGCTTTGTAAGCAATAGCCTTATCCCCACTGCTACCCGAGTGAACAATCAACATAATCAAGTGGCAAGTTAAGACACTTAAACTATACATGGAAAAATGATTAAAAATGTATCTTCTTGAGTAAAATCTAAAAAAATAAAAGAGGGGTGGGGGGGGGTGGGGGGGAGACAAGGGTCGTAAGCACTGAAAGGTGTGTACAGCTTAATCTTATGAGAAAAAGTAACAGTGTTTTATAGATCACAAGTCTGCTAGCAATAATTATGCACAATTTTCAGAATTTTGCAAATTTATCGTTTTTTTACCCATTTGCATTGACTGGCTCAATATTAATGCTGTGAGCAAAATTTCCCTTTGGTATATGTACAAAATGGCATGACTTTTTTTCATGTACCTGTGCTCTTTCAATGCAATTGCACTTTGAATATTTCATAATACACAGGCCTACAGGATGGGTCATTAACCTAAAGAGAAATTGTTGGAAGCTCTGCATGCAGCTACCTTCTATCAATAAGGACTTGGTTCATACTAATATTAATAAACATGGGAACAAAAAAGGTGCTAAAAATTAGGGGGAGTGCAACTACAATTTTCAAGTAGTTTCAGGAAGATATTATCACAGTATAAATTGGGAGATACAATGATACACATGTATCCGTCTGTGTTTAGCTTTTAATCAGCTTTAATCGAATTCGACATAAATAATTTCCCCAACCAAAACTGTCCAACCTCGCCCGCCATACTTGTTATGGAGGGCACCAGTGCGCACCTCGTGCATAAATCCTCCTGGCTAAATCGATTAGATTTGTTGGAAACAAGAGCTGTCATTTTGTTTTTGTGGTGTAAAGCAATGCGAAAACATTCAATTTAAACGTACATTAAGTATGCTTAGTGAGCTATTTTGCTAAATTGTAAAGCAATCGTTATCCAATAACAGGAAATGCTTCAAAAGATTGATGCGCAGTCAGCAAAATATTTATTTCCGGGTCAATTTCAAGTTCAGCCCACTGCCCCGACCACTTCACGTGCGGTAAGATTCAAAACATATTTCTGTCAACAAACAGATGGATTCTCATCAAAAAAGAAGTTAGGAATGGGAAGAAGAAAACAGATACAACCAAAAAGATGTAAATGTAAGTACAAAATCAAATTTAACTCCTGACATTGTCTATATTCACAGAATTTCACACTTGAATTGTCACTCAAACACGTCGTCTGTCAAAATGACAGTCTTTCAATGCAGATACCCGAATGACGAGTCGCCGCCAAAAACTAATTAAGGGTATCTATTTACATAATAAATGACACTTCATTCTTTTGATCGATTCTATCACGAATGTTTATTATTTGCAATTGCCATTAAACAATTGTGTATTGGTCCTTGAATCCATGCATCAGACATCTGCCAGTGTTTCTAAGGTATCAATCAAAAATTTCATTGGAGATTGTCAATCAGCTGTCACAGCGCCTTTGTGGAGCCAGTACAATCAATCTGCTAAGCCATCAATCACCTCTAGCTTTATTGTAAAGTGTATTTGTTCAGCAGTGCACACACAAAAGACATTTGCTTCCAAACAGTTTTTTAAAAAGAAAATATTAGGTAACAAGTTGATAATGGGGTAGATAAAATGACATTAACGATTTAATTTCAGTTGATGATGAAGGTGAAACTAATAATGTGTTTAATACTATAGAAAAAAGATCTGAAACCTGTTTAATTATATTACTTTCCATTTTGACTTTTTTAGTAATTTATACTTTTTTTAAACTAGTGAGAAAAAGATATACTTATTATTAAAGGACTGATAAAATAATAAGTTCATTGAAAAAAAAACTTGACAAATTTTAAGATGTCATATTTAATGTTTTGTTAATATCAAGTGCAATTTCTTCTTTTTTTTTTTTTATTTACAGATATTTTATAACTATACATATATATCTATATTCATGTTATTAAAAATATGAGGGAAAAATTGATTGTTTAAAACAGTATGATGTAAGATCTCTTGGTAATTCCAAAGGTTTGAATACACCATTCAGTTGTGTAACAGGAGATGCTAATTGCAATTTGATTGATAGGTGCTGTTATCAGTCAAAGGAAGACACAAATAACATCATTTATTTTTCATACATGTCAGCCAAATACTCATAAATTATTGTTAATGATGAAAATACCACAACAAGACTTAAGTGGGGTGGTTTTTATCAGTAGCATCAAGTTCTATACCCATACAGATTGGTATATTTTAGAAAAAAAGATATACATCACCAATATGTTATTAGAAATTGTCATTTATTGGTGTCAGGTAAAATTGATTTTGAAAATGTGATGTGCAGAATTGAAGTTGAGCCTGGAGTCTGAAGAACAGGTGGCATATAAGGGAAGGACTTTTTAACATGTTTCACATGCTTTAAAACAAATTAGAGTTTATTAAAGTTAGCTGCTGTAGCTATAATTTATTGTTGATTCTTGAATATGTTGAAGATTCAGATAGAAATAAAGAGAAATTGAAATGTGGTGTAACAGTATAGAATGAACAGCAACTTATATAAAAACATATAATGCCAAAATAGATATTGAGAGAGAAGTGCAGCTTCTATCATTGCAAACTCAAATTTCCCTAAGTGGAGACAATTTCTAAATGACAGAAAATCTTAAATTTTTAAGTACAAGGGTACTTACTTATATGCTGTTGTGTCAGAGCTGTGGGAAAGCTCCTTCTTAGATTCACCTTTCCTCAATGAAATTTACTTGCCCTTTAAATAGTGTACATTTTGTAAATAAATGAAATTAGCTAGCTTTGCAGGCAAGTTGAACTTCGGTTAAACATGCAGGGTGCTCTTTATAAGTTTTGCTTCCCACTGGCCTATAAGGGATTGTCACACCTCTTTTTTCTACCCCTGATTCATAAGTAATGTGTCAGAGATCAATGCAATAAAAGTATATATATTGACATAAGTTCCCTTTCAATTTTTTAAAATTTCTGATTTTTACATTTTGGAGTATTGGGACTTTGTTCATAGAAAAGGGGTGATTTATCCAGTTGTCGGACAATAACTCATAAACGCTTTGAGCAGTTTTCATGAAACTTTGGTGACTGGTGACTGTCCATTTTTCAAACTTTGGGCGGTTATAGAATTTTATTTGTTCAAACATGGATGGCCTAAAACTTAGATAAACTTGAGGTAACCTTAAAAGTTCCAAATTATTCATGTTTTGTGTCAATGGGTTCTACTGTGTGTGCATTTTTTTTTTTTTTGGGAGGGGGGGGTCTATTTGACCAGTATGTCTAGTTGATCACATAAATTCAATTCAAGCATAAAGACAAGCTAAAAAGGCAACTTACATATCATGCGCTCAATAGTGCAGCTCTTTATTATATATAGGACATCTGTAAGAACAAATATGTTAAGTGTCTATAAAATGTAATTCATAAAGATTACCAAGAATGTGTTGAAAATGTAAGTGTTTCATTAAAAGCTGCCACTTCTGCTGATGTGTAAGCCCTATGTTGTGTATGTAAGGGACCTTTGACTATCTTAAGGAGGCCATTTCACTTGAAAATTCAAACGGTCCTTAGTTAAGACCTTTTATTATTTAAATAAAATTTGAACTCTTGCAAGTTCAAAACAAATTCTGTAGGACTAAAGAATAAGTAGGACCTTTCTCTTGAAAATTCAAATAGTTCTGGACCTTTAATTTATAATTTAAATCAAATTTGAGCTCATGGTATGTGACAAGCAAGTTCAAAAAACTTTTGTAAGACTTGAGAACAAATCTTTTGTTTATAAAAGAAAATCATCATCATGCATTTAAAAAGTTATTTTAATCAGTAAATCAACTCATACTTTTTTTAGATGTTAAATTTTTTAGAAAGATACTAGGTCGGTGACTTTTATTCCCTAAATGTAATCATTAAAGAAGTGTTTAAAATTGATAGCAAAGTGCTTTTTAGCTCAGGTTTTACTGAATATTACCTGCTGATTATGCAGTAAGGCCTGTGAAATAATTTCATTTCCAAAGACCTTATATGGCATAAAAATGTCCAAATGCATGATTGAAATATTCTTAAAACTCTTTTGTGTACTGATCATGTTGAAATGGAAGGTACAATGAGTTGACCTTTGTCTTTTACTGTCTATTCTTTTAACTGTCCTTTCTGTTTGTCTGGCCACCATTACTAATGACTTCTAGTAGTACATTTGTTTTCTGTATTTCTGAATTGACTCTGATCATTTATAAGTAAGAAATATTTTATATTTGATTTGGAGTTTCTTATTTGGCGTTGCACTGCATATATAAATTTAAGTGATGCAACCTGCCTGACACTAGTTTAAAACACTGAACACAAATTTTTTTGTCATTATTTTTTGGCATGTATTTAAAATAAAGTCAAGATTTTATATTTGGATTTCGCTTGCCCTCAATTATTTTGAAAAAAAATAGAAAGAAGATACCCACAAATGGAACAATAAAAAAAACCATAAGGGTAATAAAAACCAATGAAAAGACAAACACAGTCTACAAAACACTACACACAAAACTGCAATTGATCACCAAAAACCCAACCAGAAATAGGGGGGGGGGGTAAACTCAGCTATATATGAATATTCCAATCACTTCTTGTTTGGTAAAGCCTTGAAATTTTGAGTGAAAGTCTTCTTCATAGAAAGACAAGGATATGGTGTATCCATCCATCAGTACATGCACAGCAAAACACACAAAAAGCAAATGAACAGTGCTTTTATTGCTGTTCTTCATCTCAAAGTCACAGTGAGCTTTTATTAATGTAACAGGCCATAATTGTTTATAATTATGTAATAATTGGGACTTTTTTTTTAACTATTATCTCAAAATCTGTATGAAATAACATATCATTATTATTTACAAGCAAAGATATGTTTAATCCTTGAACTTTTGGCTCATGAAAAGGACAATTTTTGGGAGGGGTTACATACTTGGCATATATATATCACATACAACTTCATTGTTTTGTTTGCATTTACTTTAGCAGAAAAAAAAACTCTATTTAAGCTTTCCAAAAAGATATGTATTATACATGTTATAGATGTGGGATAAATTATTGGTCAATGAGACACAAAAAAGCAAAATGACATATAGAAAATACTTACATCCAGGGACAAATTGTTTACACACAAGAAGGCATGTGTATTGTTTCTGTGAGAGGGACCTTTTAACATGTTTACATTTTTTTATCCTTTTGGAATCAGAATAGTTTTTTTTTTTCTCATGGTGCCTGTTTTCTGTAATGAGCTCCACTTACAGTTTACATCCATATCCCTGAAACTTCACAGGAAGATTGCACATATAGATGTTGAAATTTGTGATCCGTTGTAATTGAATTTTTTCGAGAATTTTCCCCTATTTTTCCAGACTTGGGGACTTAATTTTCAAAAAAATGTACAAAACATGAAACCAGTTTTGTGTAATCAACTCCACTTCCAGTTTTCAACCAAGGTCCCTGCAATTTCGCAGAAAGATTGCACACATGTTGAATATGTTACCCATTATTATGGAATTGAGGAATTTTTTCTGAAATTTTTTCTGACATGGAAACTTAGACATTTTTCAATCAAATTTACACTAAGTTATGGTACTGATTTTGTGAAATCAACTTCTAATCCAGATATCAACCCAGATCCTTGAAGCTTTACAGAATGATTGCACATCTATTGCAATTGTGCTTCTGTTTTAATTATGGAATTAAGGAATTTTTTCCCATTTTTCTAGGAATATTTAGATATTAGCCATTCATATATAAAGGCCTTCTTATCTTATATTGTTACACCACTGGTGTAAAACTAGTTTAACCCTGCCACATTCTGTAGGTGCCTTGCCCAAGTCAGAGGAGCCTGCAAAATTCAGTGGTTTTCATTTGTTGCTGTATGTCATATTTGATTTTTGTTCATTGTTTTGTACATAAATCAGG